CGAAGTTAAAACCAAATTCATTAGAAGCCGAATTACTCGATTTTTATTACAAACGGAAAGACCATAATGTAGGAGAACCGCTTAGAACCATTGTTTTGGGGATGAGATTAACAATACAAAAAGTTTCAGCTTTTCTCGATCAATTTATTCATCCCATTATTGATTGATTAACTAAGTACAGATTGGTGAATAGTATTGAATTTTTAAAGCATCTGAAAAACATGGAAATACAGAGCAGACTCTTGTTTATACGGGAGCCGGACTGGTGCTCCCCAGACAGTTGCTCCCCGGACAGTTGCTCCCCGGACATTTGCTCTCCGGACACTTGCTCCCCAAGGACATTTGCTCTCCGGACACTTGCTCCCCAAGGACACTTGCTCCCCAAGGACGCTTGCTCCCCAGACACTTGCTCTCCAATTATACTATACAGAACAAAAAGTAGAAAAATACTGTAGATTATCAACAGAACCACCATCAAAATAAAATATAATAAAGTGACAATGTTGTGTTCTGTTTCATACTTTCTTTTAATTACTCCTCTAATCTTATACTATTACACCACAACTAATTAATTAAATGTCAAAGAAAAACATAATCCAATAAAATATATGTACTGTGTTGACAAGCTTAAATTTCTAATTAATTAATCTCTTCAACTAGGTTGATCCACAAATGTGTATATCTATTTTGATAATACATTTTTTGAATTCATTTCTCAATATTTCCTCTAAAAAATATCATATCAACGTTTTTCTACAGTATTAAACATTTATTTATTACTTGATGGAAACTATTAAAGGAAAACCAATATTTGAACATCAAGGTTATTTATATATTTTTAATAAAGAATCAAGTAACAAGGTGATATGGTGTTGTCGTAATTATCGTCATAATAACTGTCGCGGTCGACTTCATACAATTAATGATCAAGTTGTACAAACAGTTGGTGAACATAATCATGAACCAAATCATTCATCAGGTGAAATTATTGAAGCACGTACCAAAATGACTTATGCAGCTAAACAAACTGTTAATACAACACATGATATAGTAGCTGATGGTGTATCCAAATTATCTGATCATGCTGTTGCATCATTACCAAACTTAAAGAATATTAAACGAACTGTTCGACGAATTCGTCAAAAACATCAAAATCCATTTCCATTACCAACAAATCGTGATTCACTTGTTATTGATCCATTATTTATGAAAACAAATCGTAATAGAACATTTTTACAATTCGATTCTGGACCAATTGACCAAAGAATGTTAATATTCACAACAAAAAAACAATTAAAAATATTAGAAAATGGAAATTATATATATTTAGATGGAACATTTGATGTCGTTCCTGAATTGTATTTCCAGCTTTATACAATTCATGTTAAATATTTGGATCATATTTTACCTGCAGTTTATATACTATTACCTGGTGAGTTACTTTACAGCATATCTTTTTTAAACTTTCTGTATTTTCTTAGGCAAAAAACAACGTTTATACAAAGCAATGTTACAAGAAATAAAAAATTTAGTACCAAATTTTGATCCACCGAATGTTATGATTGATTTCGAGCGTGCAAGTATGAATGCAATTAAAAGTTTATTTCCGACATCAAATTTAAATGGATGTTTTTTCCATTTATGTCAAAATATTTATCGTGCTGTTATAAGATTTGGTTTAAAAACATTATATAGTGAAAATGAAGATTTTGCGCAACAAATTCGGTGTTTACCAGCATTAGCATTTTTACCAATTACTGATGTTATTCCAACGTTTGAACAAATTAAATCTCAATTTCCAGCTGAAGGTGAACCTGTATTAACTTATTTTGAAGAAAATTATATAGGTGTTAAAACTCGTTTATCAAGACCACGCAAAGCACCAAAATTTGATATAGAATTATGGAATGTTAACACGAATACATTGCACGGTCAACATCGAACAAATAATGTGGTCGAAGGTTGGAACAACAGATTCTCATCGTTGCTTAATTGCAGTCATCCAAATTTTTGGAAATTTTTAAAAGGTTTAAAAAAGGAACAATCTTATGTCGATGCTCAAATTATTCAAGCAGAAACTGGTGCTAGACAAGCACGAAAACGTGAACAAATTCGTCGTGAAGCACATATTTTGAACTTATTAAATGAACCAACAACAACAAACTTCGAAAAAGTACGTGGTTTGGCTCAAAATATTTCATTAAAAAATTCATAATTTACATTTTCTTGTTATTTCTAAAATGAATGATTGATATTACATTTAAACTATATATATTTATACTCATTTTCTTCAATAATAGTACTGCTATTTTTCTGTTGTTGTTATTATTTCTAATAATATATATAATATTAGAATTATTTGTATAATTAATAAAATGTTTCTTATTCTTTTGCTGTGCTCTATATTTAAATTTAGTTTATATATTGCTCTTGTAACTCATAAAAATTGTATTCACTATTGTTGACGAGCAAGTGTCCGGGGAGCAATTATCTTTGGAGAGCAAGTGTCTGGGGAGCAAGTGTCCTTGGGGAGCACGTGTCCGGAGAGCAAATGTCCGGGGAGCAACTGTCCGGGGAGCAATTATCTGGGGAGCACCAGTCATGCATTCTGTTTATACATTTGACATAACAGATTTATACACAATGATACTTCAACAAGAATCCATCTGAGCCATTTGTGAAACTTTAGGTGAGAATAAGATTAGTAAGATTAATAGAGTGATCCCAATAAATACAGCTAGGACACTATGTACACATCTACTAGAGAGGTTGTGGGTATCTTATCTCTTTCTCACCATATTCACATTCTTACCAAAACAGTCTTCGTTTTTTCTTTTCTTAAATCTCACTCCAAAAACAAACATAACCTTTTCTTATTACACAAAACAGGCTTCATTTTCTCCTGTTTTATAAGAAAATTCATGAATCAAAGTTGATTTCTTCTTTTTTTGTCTAAGAAAAAATTCAGAAAACATATACATGAGAGAATCGCATTTTTGTTGTACAATTGGCAAAAAAAATGAAAGTGTATTGAGCAGAATTTTAAGACGTGCATATTATTCAGCATCGTCTACTTAGTATAAGGCGAAATTTTCCCAACTACTACATGTCAGGAAGCTGAGATATCTCTGGATCCATATATATTACGATAGTTTCAATAGTGTCAATGTTAACAAGTTTCCCTTTTATTTCTATCACAACGCTTTTTTTCTGCTCATCACGGGTATTCTAATAACTTGGAATGAATGGGTCATCAATTAAGAGACAACGAGTATTGGTTATTTATATTTCATCAACATTATAATATCGTAATTCATGAGGCTATAGCCAAGTGTCTATTTAAGTCAGTCGATGTCAAAAAACTCGTAAAAAGCGTTTCTCTACATAAAAACAAAAAAAATGTTACTCTACATTTCGTCGTATAATGCAAAGTTTTTTAGGAAGAATTGATTAAATCATGCTGAAACTTTTATGAAAGGTACAAGTTTTTATGCTCTCTCTTATGTGCAAATTTCAGCGAGATCGGTTCAATATATCTGGAGATAAGCCTAAAATAATTTTCAAAATGTTACTCTACAAAGTGAGTGAAAAATCGATTTTTGAAAAAGTTTGCTTACTTTTCTCGAAAATAATATCGAGAAAACTTAAAATTTTTTTGACCATTTGGTTACTTGAAAAGAGCTCTTCCTTTTGAAGGAGTTCCTGGATTCCTAGCTGCGTTCCTTCGTCGGCTATGAAAGGTTTAGTGTTACTCTACATAAAAGAGAAAAAGTGTTTGTAAAAGTGTTTTGGTCTTGGCCGAGCAAGAAACAAATAACAATTATATCAACGAATCATGTATTTGAATAGCTTGTTAAACGCTGAATAAAACAAGGGTATTACTGTTTTTGCTTTTTGCTTTTCTTTTTTAGGAAATCTATTTTTTGTACGGTGACTCTTTGAAAAAACCTATATTTTTAATATTTTGCGTCTCTATCTCGACGAGTTATTGAGCAATCGGACCGATATTTTCTGTGATAGTGCGACACATATGAGTGAACAAAACAAACAAAAAACTTCGGGAATCAGACAGCCGAAAATGGAGTTATAGGAAAAATACTTCAAAAATATAATTGTACAACAAAAATGCGATTCTCTCACATATTGTTTCTAAGTTGCAAAACTTAGAACAAACGTAATCTTTTCTTATTGAAACTAAAGCAAACTGCAAAAACAGATCTATTTTCTTTTCAAATCAATAGTATTTCTACTCTAACAAGTTCTAAGATCCAAGCGAATGTTTTTTTAATTGATAGAATTATTTCATAAAACACATTCATTTTCTCTCATTCAATAAATTTTCCTTGGTTTTTGCTTAAGTCGCATATTCAATACTTCTGTTTCTTACTCAACTCTCTCAAAGAAAATCAAGCATATTTTTCATTCTTAAGCATAAATTAAGAAGTGAATACCAAAAAACAAGGTTTATCCATTTATATATGTATATATATGGGGATGACCAGTCTGGCCGGAGACTCCAACATTTTTTAATCATTTAACTTCAATAGTGTATCAGAGTAATGTGATTTTTTTTACTAGTTATAGTACTTGTCGAGTGCTAATAATTTATTACTGGCCGGGTTATATATTGTTTCAAAAACCAAATTAATCGAGCATTTTTTAATTTTTCCTGAAATGTTTTTGTTTAATCAAACATATCGTAAATCGAACTTGATATTTGAAATCGTTTTCAAAATACCATTGACATATTTTTATTCAAATAATCGATCAGAAACGATTGATGAAATATTATGATCTGCGATTACGAATAGGATGTTTACACAATTGAAAGTTACATAGTGCAGAAACAACATGTGCTATTGTAGTTATTTTGCCAATATCATCATAGGGTCCTCTATAAACGCTTCCTAAAATAGCATAATTTTTAAGATATTGTTTAATGTTCCCAATAGCTGCTCTTGCTCTGCAAATAGATCGATTAAAATCTTTATCTTCAGCTGTTAATTACCACCATGAGGTTTTTTTCTTGGTATAATAACATATTGTTCACCGATATATCCTTTATCAGCAATGATTTGGACATCTTCTTGTGTTTGTTCTAATAGACCTGATTCTCTTAGAATCGTAATATTATGTTCACTACCTGGATATCCTTTGGATACATGTACTACTCGATGATGAAAGTCACAAGCTATTTGTATTTTAAATACATAGTTTGTCGGACGTTTTGCATGATAATAGGCTTTACGCTGTTCAAAATCCTCAGGTTGATAAATTGCAATGAAAGTCGTACCAACTATTAACTTGTGATATTGTTCAGGTCTATGAATTGTAGTTTCATCATTCATATTATCATGTAATACAACCAATTTTGGACAAACGCAGGAATATAAAATATGCATTATAGCCGATAAAAAATAATTCACTGTTCATTGACGGAAATTCAACTCAGTTGCTATATACTGTTCAGAATGATAATGCTTCAAATACCATAATGTGACGGAACGTAAATTTATAGGAGACAGATATGGAATATTTGTCCTTGTCGTTTGTTGTTTTCTATTCGTAAAATATTCTACTAGCATTTGATCACATAAATTATATGACTGTCATACTGGTTCGACGTCATCTCCGGTATGCTGTATACAGGAGTCATCACTACGACTCTAATCAGATCATGGGCACTGTTCTAAAAATAGAAATTGACATGCAGACTAAATAATGAATGTTGCTTACCATCATACAACATTTGAAGTTCTTGCATTCTTTTATTTTGCCTGTCTTCCTTTAATTGTTGTCTTTCTTGTTCAAGTTCTGGTGCACAATAATTACATCTCTGAGAGTGGGTGTGGGGTGTGGGGGTGCGTGGGTGTGAGTGTGGGTTTGGGTGTGGGTGTGGGTGTGGGGTATGAATGTGGGTGCGGATGGCGCTGGTATGGGTTAAAGAAGCAAAACAAACCCACACTCACACCCACATCCTCCACGAGACTTCAGAAGACTTCACAAGATTTCTGAGACTTCATAGAACTTCAAAACTGAAGTCTCAGTTGTTTCTCCCTCGTTTAACAGTGATCAACAACAGTAACAGGAGAAAAAAATGCAGTATGGAGGCCATGATTTACTTCTGATAAATGTAGTAATGAATTAAAGAGTATTTTTATTGTTCATATGCCAATGGTCTTATCATATTCATATTTGCTTTTGCAAGGCAAAGATAATGAGAGTCAACAATGGTACCCTCGATTATTAACTATTCCGTAGAATGAAAAAAAAAACGACCCACAATTCGAAAACAAATGCACTGAGGATACGAATATGACGCATTTAGATCAAGGACAATATGCAAAATAAAAATCCTTACCTCATATCTTCAACTCATTGCCACTCTATTTCCCATGTTAACTGGTAGGATGCTATTTTATCAATGGAGAATCAACAAATACTTTATTACAGGACAGTGACAATGGCTCAGCTGTCTCATCCCGTCACAAGATGATACGAAAGGAACCAGAGTGGTACCGTGAGAACTCTGATTTGATGTACCTTGTTGCAACTGATAAACAATCTATTTTACGATAGAAAAAATTTCCCTCACTCTCACCGTTGTTTCTCGATTGCGTAGACTACGCCATGTTGATACTACGTAGTCAACATTCATATGTATTTTCAAGTAGAGAAATAGATGAAAAAGAACGACAATAGTTATCTTGCTTGAGTTTGCTCATCTAAATGTACGTGGCAATGACTGAGGAGATAGATTTCAACAAAGTGAGTATTGATTAAAAATCTACATAAAGCAAAGATCTCTTGACAAAATTGATTCTACAATCTTGAGAAGCGACGACTTGAACTGCTTCAGATTACAAG